AGGAATGGATTAAGCCTGGGCAAGGCCTGCGCAGGAGGTAGGGCTGCCAGGTCTGGGCTGGGAAATACCTGGAGACTTTGGGGGTGGATCCGGGAGAGGGCGGGGCTTGGGGAGGGGAGGGGCCTCAGCAGGCTACAGTGCCATACAGAGTCCACCCTCCAAAGCAGCCATTTTTTCCGGGGGAGCTGATCTCTGGAGAGCTGTTGTAAAAGCGGGAGATCTCCAGGCCCCACCTGGAGGCTGGCAAACCTAGTGGGGGGCAGGGAGCTAATGTGCCGTGCAGCCTGCAGTTTTGCTACCTGCTTCTAGGAGCTTCCTGGCTTCCACTAGGGTCCCCGCACAGATTTGTATATCAAACCAGTATCGCGAAACACGCGTAACGTTCCACCTGAATTTTCGCAAAAGGAGGAGCAGATGGTTCTAAAAGGCCGACCTCCGAGAACTGGGCGTTTGGCTGTTAAAACCTGCACAACGTTTTGCTCACTGGGGTGCGTAAACGAGACGCTGGCACGCCAGGGAGGGTGGCAAGAAGCGGGCCAAGGTATGCGGAGGCCTCCCGGTGCCCAGGGGTCTCCTTGGCTGAAGACCAAGGAATGGTTCTTGAGGAAGTAGAATACGGCCGAGCGACACAGAATGTCCCGAGTCTGACATTTAATCCCGCTGCCCTGCAAAGCAGCTGCTTCGGCCTGGCCTTATTCGACTCAGAAGCCGACAGTGCGAATCCGTTCTGCAAGGCCGCTCTAGCAGACCGGAGGATGACAGAAACCCAGGAGCATCTTCTGGTCCAGACTGGAGCTTGGTGGAATGTGGGAGTGATTCCAATCTGATGCCAATACCACTTAGGGTTGCCAACTTCCAGGAGAGGTTTGGAGATCTCCGGGAATTATAACTAATCTCCAGCCGACAGGGATCGGTTCTCCTGGGAGAATGAGCCTGCTGTTTAGACCCCACTGAGATCACTACCCCCCCCAATCCTGCCTTCCACAGGATCCACCCCAAATCTCCAAGAATTTCCCAAGCCAGATTTGGGAACCCTGTCACTTGTTCCTGTTTAACACAAGGGATACGGTCAAACGTATAGATAAATATAATCCTGTTCCCAGGATGGCAAGAAAAAGGGCTTTTTAATTCTTAATACAGTCCACTGAAGAACTGGGCCCCAGGCTAGTTCAGACTAGGTTTGATAACTCTGAATTGGGGAATTCCTGGAGATTTGGGGCAGAAGGGCAGAGTTTGGGTAAGGTGCTCAGTGGGAATATGATGCCACAGAATCCCCCCTCCGAAGAATCCACTTCCTCCAGCGGCACTGATCTCTGCAGTCTGTTGTTCTTCCAGGAGAACTCCAGGCCCCGCCTGGAGGTTGGCAACTCTCGTTAGGGTTCCCAGCCTCTAGGCGGTGGCTGGAGATTTCCTGAGATGAGAACGGGTCTCCAGGCGGCCGAGATCCAGGTCACATGGAGAAGATGGCTGCTTTGGAAGGTAGTCTGTTGTTCTTCCAGGAGGCGGTGGCTGGTGATTTCCTGAGATGACAACTGGTCTCCAGGCGACCGAGATCAGGTCACATGGAGAAAATGGCTGCTTTGGAAGGTGGACCCCACTGAAGTCCCCTCCCCTCCCCAAACCCCGCCCTTCTCAGGCTCCACCCCCTCAAATCTCTGGGAATTTCCCAACCCAGAGCTGGCCACCCTAGTTCATATTCAGGTCCAAACTTGAGATGTGCCCAGTGGAACTGGTTTTTTTTTTGCTAGCCGGATGCTTGCCCACCACCCCGGGCTATGCCACACTGTGTTTGAAAATCCCCTCATTTAGAAGAAGAAGAAGAAAAAGAAGAAGAAGAGATTGGATTTATACCCCACCCTTCACTCTGAGTTTCAGAGCGGTTTACAAACTCCTTTCCCTTCCCCTCTCCACAACGGACACCCTGTGAGGTAGGTGGGGCTGAGAGAGCTCTTTCCAGAACTGCCCCTTCAAGGACAGCTCCAAGAGAACTTGTGACTGACCCAAGGTCACACCAGCAGCTGCAAGTGGAGGAGTGGGGAATCAAACCCAGTTCTCCCAGATTAAAGAAACTGCACAAGATCCCAGTTACTGTTCAGGAAAGATAAATGCCAAAGACTCTTCGGGTCTGCAGAACTAGTGATGTGCTTGTTTACATCCCAGCCTCCGCCATATATTTTTGAACAGGAAAGAGTTGTCAAAAATGAGACTGCACATCGTATAGGGTTGCCACGTTCCCTCTGGCCACTGGTGGAGGTTTGGTGGGGGTTAGAGTTCCTAGGTCCAGGCTGTAAAACCCCTTGAGATTTGGGGATGGTGCCTGGAGTGGGCAAGGACCACAGTGGGGGGGTCCAGTGCCACAGAGTCCCCCCTCCAGAGCGTCCATTTTCTCCAGGGGAACTGATCTCTGTATTCTGGAGAGGAGCTGTAATAGCAAGATAACTCCAGGTCCCACCTGGAGGATGGCATCCCTCACACAGCAGCCAGGCAGTCATTTTGGTTGTGGTTGTTGTTGTTTACCTGAAATGTTCCTTCTTCAGACGGCCGCAGCGATTCCCACTCTGGAGAATCCAGGAACTGATACGGGAAGATGTAGTGCAGAAACTGCCCGTCCTGGCTTACTCTGACCCTACAGAGGGAAGGGAAAGGACAGAGTAGAAGAACAAGAAGAGAAGAAGAGATGGGATTTATACCCCGCCCTCCACTACCCAAAGGAGTCTCAGAGCGGCTTACAGACTCCTTTCCCTTCCCCTCCCCACAACAGACACCCTGTGAGGTAGGTGGGGCTGAGAGAGCTCAGACAGAAACTGCTCTTTTCCAAGAAAAGCTCTTATCAGAACTATGTCTTGCCCAAGGTCATCCAGCCAGGTGCAAGTGGAGAAGTGGGGAATCAAACCCGGTCCTCCCAGATTAGAAACCGGCGCACTTAACCACTACACCAGATTGGTTATTCCCACGGTTTCAACCCGGATGCACAAGTGGAAATCCCTTGTTCTGGAATGAAATGCTTTTGTTCTTAGGGTTGCCAACTCTCGGTTAGGAAATTCCTGGAGATTGAGGGGGTGGAGCCTGGGGATGGTAGGATTTGGGGAGCGCAGGGGCCTCAGTAGGGGCCCACCCTCCCAAGCAGCCGTTTTCTCCAGGGGAACTAATCTCTGTTGTCTGGAGATCAGTTGTAATTCCGGGAAATCTCCGGGTGCCACCTGGAGGGTGGCAACCCCAATTTGTTCTAGGCAGCAGGCTGGATCCTATAAGTTTGTTCTGCTAGTGGGGGAACTTTCTCAAAAGCAAGGAGCCCTGCGCCAGCTCTTTGCACTGGATGAAGGATCTTTCATGAGTGGGATGGAGACACAGGAGCCAACATCGTGTTATTATCAAAGGCTAAAGAAATCCGTGTCAGTGGCTGAAGCCCATAATGCTACGCAGTGGGTGTGGAAGGCACACCTTTGTGGGCAGGGACAGTTCCCCGGCCAAGCCACCCAACCAACGTCTGGGGACATGGGGTTGCCAACTTGCAGGTGGCACCCGGAGACCCCCCCAGAATTGCAACTGATCTCCAGACCGCAGAGATCAGTTCACGCCACTGGCTCCCTCGCACCCCTGTGGTGACACCCGTCCCCCCCTCCCCGGGCCTGTGCTGCTTCCGCTCAGACCCCAGCCAAGTTCAGCTTGCCTGGCCTCCGCTAATATAGTTAGCAATAATATTTTTAAGTCGATTGGCCAACATACCCGTGTAGATTTTATAGTCAGTATTGACCAACGAGATGGGTCTATAAGAGGCCGGGTCACTCGGGTCTTTGTCCTTTTTGGGTATTAGTATTACATTCACTGTTTTCCACAATTTTGGCATGTCTCCAGAACTTTGGATTGCATTGCATACATTTAATAATATTTCCGGAAGGAATGACTTATAGAATTCAGAATACTTTGACCTTCCTATTGGATTTGTTACTTTGTGTATAAAATGTTAATAAAATTTATTAAAAAAAAAAGTTCAGCTTGCCTGGCAGCAATGTAGCCACAGGTGGTGATGGGCACACTTGGCTTGAGGCAAAAGAATGTTATATCGTGGGCAGCTGTGAATTTGTTGGCTTTCCCTTATTGTATGGTCTAGTTATTTTAACACAATCCCTTTGTTGGAAATGCATGTGTTTACAAGGTCTGGCAATTCAGTCATTATAGGGTTAACTTGTTTGCCTAGTATTGCTATTGTTTAGACTGACCTGGAAGGGATACCTGGCAGTAAGCCAATGGGGAATTAGCCCCGGAAAAGTAACTTCTGTTGTGATAAGTGACAGGTGACTTCCTTTCTAGGGGTCGAGAAGAAGGACAGATTCTCCATTATCTCTGTGTTAGTGTTGACTATAGACAGCTTAGAAAATGTAGCTGTTAGTGTTAAGTTTATTTGTAGTTATCCCGTGTACCTTTTACCCTTAGAAATAAAGGTTTTTAAAAGCAAAGAAATCTCTTCTTTCCAATAGAGCAAGATCCATTGATAGTCTGAGTATTAAACACTTTTGACTATTTTACAACAACCTTAAGGTGAAAAGCCTTTGCTTTAGTTTCACTTTCCACTTGCCTTGTTGGTTGCTGGGTGAGGCTGCTCATGGCCTGGCCTATATTCTAATCAAGTTCTATTTTGGCACCAGGAGGTGCCTTGGAGTGATTGCAGAATACTTTGCATTGGCTTATGGGAGGATCCGGTAAGCCTTTCCCTGGCCCTGGGGTTGTCAGACCCAGGGTTCCCCACACACACACCAGGCCCTCCCCCCAGCTGCCGATCAGCCGGCTAGAAGGAGGAAGGCTTAGACCACATTGCTGGCATTGCGTCGGAATGATGTCATCACAACAGCAACTTCTGGGTGACACTCTGGTATTTGGGCAAAAAACCTCTTATGATGGAAGTCAGTTTTACCATAGAGTTTTTGCCCAGATACCAAAGAGCCACCTGGAAGTCAATGGTAAGACCATAAGAACATAAGAGACACCAATGTTGGATCAGGCTAAAGGCCCATCCAGTCCAACACTCTGTCACACAGTGGCCAGAAATACCAGGTGCCATCAGGAGGTCCACCAGTGGGGCCAGGACACTAGAAGCCCTCCCACTGTTGACCCCACCCCACCCCAAGCACCTAGAATACAGAGCATCACTTGCCCCAGACTGAGAGTTCCTATCTATACCTTGTGGCTAATGGCCACTGATGGACCTCTGCTCCATATGCCTATCTAATTCCCTTTTGAAGCTGTCCATGCTTATAGCCGCCACTACCTCCTGTGGCAGTGAGTTCCATGTGTTAATTACTCTTTGGGTGCAGAAGGACTTCCTTTTCTCTGTTCTAACCCAACTGCTCAGCAATTTCATTGAGTGCCCACGAGTTCTTGTATTGTGAGAAAGGGAGAAAAGTACCTTTTTCCCTACCTGCTCTATGATGACATCACTTCCTGTGTGACACCGGCAACGTGGCCTGGGCCATTCCCTTTCTCCTGGTGGGCCCCTGCTGGTTGTCAGGAGGGACCTGGCAGCCCCACCTGCCCCTCCCCTCCCAATCAGAGCACAGGTCAGGCACCCCTCCCCTAGCCCCACATTGGTGACTTTTTAAGGTTACAAAATCCCTGGAGATTTAGGGGTGGAGCCAGAGAGGGCAGGTTTTGGAGAGGGGAGGGACATTGGTGGGTCATACTGCCATGAAGCCCACCCTCCAAAGCAGCCATTATTCTCCCTGTAGCCTGGAGATCAATTGTAATACCAGGAGATCTCCGGGCCCCACCTGGAGGCTGCCAGTCCTACAGGCAAGGCCACGGGTAGGCATGGAACCATGACATGTGGTTTGGGAAAACATGCAGATGACCAGTTTTGCTTTGTGGGAAAGCTGCTGGCCCAGAGAAGCAAAGTGTGTGTGTGTGTGTGTGGGGGGTCGCACCAGAAGCCTCGGTGCGACTTGCAGAACTTCCACCTGACTTCCGCCTGACTTCCGCTTTCCCTTTTTCTATGACAGACCGTGCTCCCACACTAGAGGAACCTCTCTCGGCGATAGATCCAGGTGGGTAGCCGTGTTGGTCCGAAGCAGCAGGACAGAGTGCGATTCTGCACTGGCTTTTCCCTCCATTGTTTTACCGAGCCCACGCTGGAGCAGAAATTCCCCTCCACGCTGCATGCCGCTTTTGTTTTCCTTGATCATCGGGTTTTATGGTACCTTTTGCATTGATTTATGGCCGTTCAGGGGTGACTTTGCAGTCAGTACAGCGTTGGCCCAGGGCAGGGCTTTTTTGGTGGAAAAAGCCCAGCAGGAACTCATTAGCATAATAGGCCATACCCCAGTAGCAGAAACTCATTAGCATATTAGGCCACACCCTGACAGTGCAGCTAATTAGCATATTAGGCCACACCTTCCCTTGGTTTGCCCAGGCGCCCCATGGCTGTGAGGAGCCCGGGCAAGCTGGCCCTTGGAAGGGAGGGGAGACAGTTTAAACTGCCTTCCCTTGGCTTGGCTGTAGTGGGCGTGGCCAACTCTGAAGCCAGCCGGAACTCCGTTCCCGTGCGTTCCTGCCCAAAAATAGCCCTGCCCCAGGTTATTTGAATGTGGTTTTGAGCAGCACCTTTTCCTAAAGTTTGAGTCCAGTGGTACCCTTCACACTCGGTGTGCACGCACACGAAAGCTTATACCCAGAATAAAACTTTGTTGGTCTGAAAGGTGCCTCTGGACCAGTTTTCTGTCTAAGCTGAGTTTGTGTGAGCTAGCCCACAGTTTTTTAGCCTCCGGCTCACACATTTCTGTCTTAGCTCAGGAAGGAGGGCTCTAGAGCAAGCTAATTTATGCAGCAGCCAAATCACTCACTCACAACTTTCATGCCAGTAGCTCATAAAGTAGAATTTTTGCTCACGGGACTCCACAGCTTAGAGGGAGCATTGCTCTGGACTCAGATTTTGTTCTTTTCTCAGTAATGACAGCTAAACTATCCGGCAGCTACACACAACTTGGCACAACAGCGGCTTCTGTGCCACAAGCGGGAGGAGGCCATTGGCGACAGAAGCTGGGTGGAGAAAGGATTGCTCCAGGCAGCCTCTTCTCCCTCAGCCCCCTTCCCCTGAAACTCCCCCCACCCCAAACCCCTGTTCCAGCCAGACAAAGCACTTCTGCACTGGCCCAGTCTGGTCTGTAGGCTAACACTCGTCTGTCAAAAAACCCTGTGCGTAGCCGTGACCTGGATAGACCAGGCAATCCCGATCTCGCCAGATCTCAGAAGCTGAGCAGGGCCGACCCTGGCAAGTACTTGGAAGGGAGACCTCCAAGGAATACCAGGACTGGGGTGCAGAGGTAGGCAATGTCAAGCCCCCTGTCTGAACCGTTCTAGCCCCACTAGGAGTCGCCGGAAGTCTCCATGACTTCCAGGCATGCAAGCACACACGCAGGCACAAATCCTGTGCGTAGAAGAATGTCTTGTCAAGATGGATCAGCCCTGACATACTAGATTTCTTCCTGACGTGCTAGATTTCTAGGTGCAGGGATTTTTGCCATATGTTTTTCTATCGCGAGTCCCTGCTGGCAGACTGATGTAGAGCCAAGATAGCTTTATCCCTTTGGTGGGCCAGGAGAGCAACAGAGTTACTTATGTCTCTCCTGGCCACCAGCGGTTGATGGGGGATAGGGTTCCCAGATCCAGGCTGGGAAACTCCTGGAGATTTGGGGATGGAGAGGGGGGACAGAGAGCTCAGTGGGGGGTCCAGTGCCACAGAGTCCCCCCCTCCAAAGCATCCATTTTCTCCAGGGGAACTGATCCCTGTAGTCTGGAGAGGAGCTGTAATTCCAGGGGATACCCAGGTCCCACCTGGAGGTTGGCATCCCTAGAGTTAGTTCAGACTGCAGTGAACCTAAGGCCTAACTACGGCATACATCGTTTATACACCTGCCTGGTGCCCACACCAAATCCGGTTGGCCAGAAGTGTGCTGGAAGGTCTGTATCAGTTCCCAGGCATTCGGGGCCCAAATGTGGATGCAAACCACAGCACATGGGAAGAGAGAATTCAACCACCTTCACTGCACGGTTATCATGACCTGAAATGCCCTTGGGGAGTTCCTGTTTGCCCCATTGAGGAAATTTAAGTGTAGCCCATCAGTTTTCTCAATGGAGTACACAGCATCTCCACAGGGACGTTTTATGTCAAGAAAACAGAAGGGGAAGGCTTATGCCCTAAGGTTGCCAAGTCCAGCTCAGGGAAGCTCCTGGAGATTTTGAGGTGGATCTGGGGAGGGCAGATTTTGGGGAAGAGAGGGCAGCAGAGATGTAGTGCCAGAGCCCACCCTCCAAAGCTACAATTTCCTCCAAGGGAACCGATCTCTGTAGTCTGTAGATCAGCTGTAACTCCGGGAAATCTCCAGGCCCCACCTGGAGGTTGGCAATCATAGTCCCCTTTCCCTCTGCACCATGGCTCCAGTGCGAATTCCACCTGGGAATGAACTCAGGAATGGAACTCCCAGCACATATCTTATTTATTTTTATTTTTTATTTTATTAATTCTATTTGTATCCCGCCCTCCCTGCAAACAAGCATAGTCGGTACCAGGTTGACAGGACCTGGGGGACAAACCCGTAAACGATGCCTCGTGTAGTTCAGCCCCCGGATTCACGTCCTTCCCAGACCCTCTTCCTCTCCATGCCCTCCAATTCCTTCCCTTCCCAGGTTGCCGCAAATTCTAGTCTGGCATCCCTTCCAAAGGCTGGCTTGCATGCACCTTCTTTTCCCTTGCAAACCAGAACTGGAAATCCCGGGCCAAGCAAGTTTGCAGTCCAAGCAAGTTCTGGGCCTGCGGGTACCTTGAGCATCCTGACAAATGGCTGCGGTCACACGTGCTGAATAATCCACTTTCAATCCACGCTCAGTGCACTTTCCAACTGGATTTTTACTGTGGCCCTTTCTGCCCCCTCCTTTTAATCCATGTTTACCGTGGTGTCCTCCAAGCAATTCTGCACTAAAATCGAATTCACCCTTCTTTTTAATCCAGGTCTCCCCCCCCCCCAATTCTGCGCTAAAATCGAGTTGAACCTTCTTTTTATTCCGGGGTTTTCCCCCATTCTGCATGCCATTCCCTGTTTTCCCCCATTCTGCATCGCATTCCCTCCCTTCAGTGGTCAGACCGGTTTCCACCTGCTGTCGCCCCGGGTTATTTGGATGCTGTTTTGCCCTGGACTTCAATTGCCTCGACTCGAACACTGAGAAAATCCAGAGTGGCAGGCAAATGTGGGAAGGACTCAGTGGGTGCGGTCAGACGGGGCCGTTTAGTCCGCTTTCGACACGCTTCAGTAACTGATTTTATATCCACGCTCACACACCCAACATCTGCGCACCGTCCCCAACCGTCACTTTCTGGCTCAACCCCCCTTTAAAACGGAGTATTTTGTTACCAGGTCCCCAAGTGGTGTTTTCCTGATCCTCCGGTTCTAGCCACACTTTTCTGACGTCCGATTGCTCCTGCGGTGTTGAGCCACTTCCAGTTTAAACCCCCTCCCCGCTTGAAGGCTGCCCGAGGCTTCCGCTTTTTGCCCGCCATTTTTTTTTATGCATTGGCGGTGCACACATAGGCGGAGCTCCGCCACCGTGTTTAGAAAACCGACATTTAAACAGTCACTTCTTTTAGCGTTTAGATTTGGGATCTCATGGAGATCATTTTCAGGTCAAACATTTAAAGGGAAGTTGGAGGGGTTGGATTGATTCGCCCTGGTGGTTCTCTGCATGCGCCATGATAATCCCCCCCTTCTACGGGGGGGTGCCTATGCGCATGCGCAAACTGACTGCACACAGTGTGAACTGACAAATTCCAGTTGGAAAGTGCATGGAAGGTGGATTGAAAATGGACCGTGTGTGAGAACGCAACCACAGTGTGGTGGGGGCAGCCACAGAGTGGCCATACAGTGGCCATACAGTGGCTGCCAGGGCTTACCTACAGTCACACAGCGGAGAGCCTTGTGCTGTGGGGGCAGCTGCTGCTGAAGCAACATTTTTTAAAAGTATGCACATCCAATCAAATCTCCAAGAACCTGTAAGAAACCATGTTTCCATGCTTATCCCACATTCTGAACAGAATGTCAGACTCCCATAGCATCAACGAAGCACACACTTGTAGAAAAGGTTTTACTTTAATTGAAGCAATAGGTGCATAACAGGATCACTGTTCAGAATGAGGGATAAGCATGGAGCCCAAGAGATTATAGTAAATTCAAAAAGCTGAGACCCAACTGCAGAAGTTCCCGCGTGCGCCATTGAGCCTGGGAAGCAACGCTTCTAGATAATCATAACACATTTGCTTCCCATGGATAGTACCATGAGATCACTTCAAGCAACTACCCGCCGGCAACCACCTGTGGCCTTGAGAGATCCGGACGTTCCTGCAACTAGGCGATCAAGCGCATCAACAGGCATACATGAGAAAGTGGAAGCAGACAAGCGCATACATAGAGAATAGGAAAACACCTTGGCAGCTTGCTGACATTGTGTGCAAAACCATGACCTGGCCCTATCCGTTTTCTAAAAACAATGCCAGGAAAGGTGTCATTGTGCAGCAAGGTGCCCACGGGCAGTGCTCCCTCTAAACTGTGGAGTCTTGGGAGCAAAAATTCTACTTTGTGAGCTACCGACATTAAAGTTGTGAGTGAGCAATTTGGCTGCTGCATGAATCAGTTTGCTCTGGAGCCCTCCTTCCTGAGCTAAGACAATAACGTGTGAGCTGCAGGCTAAAAAAACCTGTGAGCTAGCTCACACTAACTCAGCTTAGAGGGAACACTGCCCACGGGCACCATATTGGGGCTCCCCCCCCCCTTTAGACCAAGGTTAAGTCTGAAGCAGCTCACGCTTCCCTTCCTCTCCATAAGATTGCAAAGGGAGTGGAATACGCCATTCTTGTTTCCTTTTCAATGGCTTTGGAAACACCAAGGCCTGGCAGAGGACAAGAGGCCTACCTGCCCGACAGCAAGAGGGACAGGCGATCGATGGCCGTCTTGCCCTCCACGGCGTAGGTCTGGTCTCTGGCCAAGGGCAGCACCCGCTCCTCGCAGCACTTGACAATCTCTTTGTACACCTGGAGGGGCACCTGGAGCGGTTGACACACTTGCTTGTAGAGCTGCTGGAAGTCTTCAGACACCGTGTCCTTCCGGAGCTGGTAGACAAGGTGTGCTAGCTGGAGCGCGCAGATCAGCACCAGGAGCAGGTTCCAGGTGAAGATGTCGACTCCGCAGGCGTCCAGCCACCCCCAGAGTGCCCAGCAGAGGAAGCCGGTGGCCATGAAGCCGAAGATGTAGATGGTGCCGTAGGTGCCGCTGCCTCCCATGAATCCCAGGAGGAAGATGCAGCCGCCCAGGTGGTAGGTCGCTCCTTCGGAAAAGAACTTCCATTGGTCGCACAGAGTTGGGTGGAAAATGATCCGGTCCAGGAGGGTGCTGTTGGCACTCATCTTCCCGTGGCCTGTCTGCCACGGACGACGTGATATTGCGCTGTAGCAACGGAAACCGATCGCTGGAACGGGAACTAAGCAGCGGCTCCACCTCTTTGGAAACCGTAGAGGAGCATTGTGGAAATTAGGGAGGCGTTTGCATGAAACGACGCCAGGGATGGAACACCCCACTGGAGTGGACCAAACGGCTCTCTCGGCGCTCTTGCGGGGAACCCTGACCCGGCCGACTGTCTAGATCCGTGCCAGAAATCCAGTGCTGGAGAGGACAAGACCTTTTCCTTTGAGAAAACGGAGCTGGGTAGATTAGCTGCGGCCTGCTCCCTCCCCGGCCATGGGAGAAGTGGAAATAGAGCCGATGTCAGAGCGACGGGGAGGGCACGCCAGGGGCGGAGGAGAGCGAAGCCCAGGGCACTTGTGGCTGGAGCTGGAATGTACAGCACGGGGCAATGGAAAGACCCCAAATAGATAACCATGTTTGGAATTGAAATCCAAGAAGCGGCGGCCGAGAGGGGAAGAGAAGCCAGGCGGGCAGTCACCACTTAACATAACTCGGAGAACAAGATTACACTCCGTATTGTTTGCACGCACGGTTCCTGGTTTTGCGGCCCCTGGCTGGAGACAGTTAGCGGGAAAGGGTCTCTCTTCGATCACAAGACCTGCTGGGAGGGTAGGAAAACAAAAGGATTGCCTCTCTCGTGTGTGGAATGTGTGGAAGCGAGATGGGACTGTGAGGCGAGACTACAAAATCAGGTTTGAGGAAGTGCTTCTTTTTTAGCCGCGTCCAAAGAGGGTGCTGACAGGTGGGCGTTTAAAATTAGACAGGCTCGGGACTTGAGTCTGGCCATGCAAGCGAGGGTTATTATTATTTGCCGCTGCAGGCTTGATAAGCGAGGCAGGGAGGGGACGGGAGCAGGCAGCTGAGGAAGACACTTCACTGCAAGCCGCCAAATGTTTCGTGAGTTGGAGGGCGGGAAGGGAATGGGAAGCAGAGGGAGGTGGAAACGGCCTGTGCTCGTCTTCCTGGGGTACAGCCATATTGGTCTGCACGGCATCCAAAAAACAAGGATGAATCCTGTGTCATATTTCCTTTAGGACCAACCAGATCGGTGCAAAACACCAGGCATGCTTTGGACTCACTGGGACTGAGCTGGATGTTACAGAATGTAAATGGAGGGGTGGTGGCGTTGTTAACTCTGGGTCATAAAAACATAAGAGAAGCCAATGTGAGATCAGGCCAATGGCCCATCCAGTCCAACACAATGCCCCCTCTAAGCTGTGGAGTCTCGTGAGCAAAAACTCTACTTTGTGAGCTACTGGCATTTAAGTTGTGAGGGAGCGATTTGGCTGCTGCATAAATTAGCTTGCTCTGGAGCCCTCCTTCCTGAACTAAGACAAAAATGTGTGAGCCTGAGGCTAAAAAACTATGAGCTAGCTCATAAGAACATAAGAGAAGCCAAAGTTGGACCAGGCCAATGGCCCATCCAGTCCAACACTCTGTCACACAGTGGCCAAAAATACCAGGGTTGGCCATGGGTTGGCCATGGGTAGGAATTGGAAGGGTGACCTCCAAGGAATACCAGGGCTGTGACGCAGAGACAGGCAATGGCAAACCACCTCTCAATCGTTTCTTGCCTAGCTCTCCACCTAGTGGTGCATAATGCTAAAACAGGTAGGACTTCCAGCTGCCAGACAATTTTAGGATCTCCTGGCTGTACTACACACAAGGCCATATGGTAATTATTAATGTGGGGAGTTGATGCCATGCTGGCAATAAAGTGAAGCCTGCTTGCATCTTACGAAGAAGAAGAGGAGGAGGAGGAGGAGGAGGAGGAGATTGGATTTATACCCCGCCCTTCACTACCCAGGGAGTCTCAGAGTTGCTTACAATTTCCTTCTCCTTCCCTTCCCCACAGCAGAAACCCTGTAAGGTAGGTGGGGCTGAGATAGCTGTTTCAAGAACTGCTCCTTCAAGAACAATTCTGAGAGAACTTGTAAGTGACCCAATATCACACCAACAGCATCATGTGGATGAGTGGGGAATCAAACCCAGTTATCCTAGATTAGAGTCTGTGCTCCTAACCACTACACCAAACTGATGCGCGCAAGAACAGGTCTTAATACTATCTGCTTTCTGCCTGTTAAATTCCGGCAGCCCTGAGTCTTTGCAAGGCAGAAAGACGGACAAAGAGTTACCCACTTCAGATTTGGAGATTTGGGGGTGGAGCTCGGGGAGGGTGGGGTTTAGGGAGAAGAGGGACCTCAAGGGAGTATATACCATAAAGGGCACCTACCAGAGTCGCCATTTTCTCCACAGGAATCGATGCCTGTAACATTTGCTCATCATTTTTTAAAAGCTACTTTAAAAACAATTCTCAGCGACTGCAGTTTCCTTATCCATCTTCTACGGAAAGAGATCTACAGAAGTCAAAGCTACATATGAGAGCAGCCACGAGTCGGCTACAGAAATCAGTGGCCCACCATGTCTGCATTCTTCCCACTGCAACATTAGAGAGATAAAAGAATGCTTGCTGTGACAATACCACATTGTGAGTTTCCCCGTTGGGAACCAACAATTATACCATACTCAATCCCCCTCCTCCAATTTTAAGTTTCCTTGAGATATTTTGTGTGCAAAGGTCTAAAACCTAACACAGAACCGCACAGTAAGTACAGAACTTCGAAAACTCACCCGTTTTCCACTTCCGTCACTACTGAGAGCCAGTTTGGTGTAGTGGTTAAGTGTGCAGACTCTAATCTGGGAGAACTGCGTTTGATTCCCCACTCCTCCACTTGCAGCCACTGGATGACCTTGGGCAAGCCGTAGTTCTCTCAGAGCTGTTTTCTCAAGGGCAGTTCTGGAGAGAGCTCTCTCAGCCCCGCCTACCTCACAGGGTGTCTGTTGTGGGGAGGGGAAGGGAAAGGAGTCTGTAAGCCGCTCTGAGACTCCAAGTGAAGAGCAGGGTATAAATCCAGTTCTCAGTAGCCACATCGCTCGCTCACAGCTTTAATGCCAGTCGGTCACAGAGCAGAATTTTTGCTCACAAGACTCCATAGCTTAGAGGGAGCATTGGCGGCAGTTGGAGGGAAGGTTCCAGATTCAAAGGTGTTGGTGCCGGTTGCCATGGTTCCCTGCCCAGGGCTCCCAGACCCTCAGAGCAAATCTGGAGCTCGAAGGAGGCAGACCCTACTTGCCTTCACCCCATAGTTTCCCACTTACAGGTGTTACCGGAGTGAGACCCCAGATCTTAAAGGTGGGGGGCAGAGGCCGGGGTGCCCAACCCGACACTCTGTTGCCGCTCTGGGCCCCTCTTCCCCTCCCTCCCCGGGGGACACAGGCCAGGTGTCCTCATCCTTGCGGGGCTCCAGGTCTGGCCAGGGGGGCCTCCACCCTCCCCTCCCGGGGTGGGCGGGGGGTGGTCCTGGTTCCTCCTCTGGCCTGGCCCCATTCGTGTCCTTCTGGGCCCGGAGGGCCACGGAGCCCATCGTCAGCTGGTCCGGCTGGGGACCATCTCTGCCTCCCCTCAGGCTTCCCACCGGAAGGGATGGAGCTTGGCTTGCCAACCTCCAGGTGGGCCCCGGAGATCTGGAATGACAGGGCCTTCAAAAAGGAGTTCCCCTTTAGAAAATGGCTCCTTCGGAGGGTGGAGTTTACGATATTCATTCCCACTAAGTACCCTCCCTTCTCCAAACCCGGCTGTCCCTAGACTCCACCAGCAGTCTCCAGGAATTTTCCCACCTGGAGTTGGCACCCGCAGTGTCCTGTCCCTCTAATGGAGGTTTAACATGCAGAAAGGGGCAGCTGGAGCTTCTCCTGGAGGCCTGGAGCTCAAGGACTTCCCCTGATAAATGCGGCAGATCAGACGGACAGGAGAGGGACGGCTGGAAGGGCCGGTTTCCAAGCGGGCAAGCCTGGTCGCTCCCCCTGCCCCTTTACCTGTTTAGAAAATGGTGCCTTGGCCCTCCTTCTGCTTCGGAGAACCTGCCGGAGGTGGCAGTTGGAGGGAAGGTTCTAGGTTCAATGGGGTTGGTGCCGGTTGCCGTGGTTCCCTGCCCAGGTCTCCCAGACCCTCAGAGCGCATCCCCGGAGCTTGAGGGAGGCAGACTCTTTCTTTCTGAGCTCCCTGCTTACCTGGTCACGCTTGTTCCTGGAGTGACACTCCATGGGTGCGGTCAGACGGCATGCTGGGAGTGGTTCTTTTTTAACCCGGAGAATCACGATCAGACTCACCTCCTTGCTCTGGATCAATGCGCAGCCACATCGCTTCCCGCTGTCCACACGCAGGAGTGTGCTTGGAGTGTGCTTCGCTGTTGTTTTTCTCTCTCTCTCTCTCTCAGTTTGGGCATGCGCGTGTGCAGAACAGCGATTTCCACTTCAACCCGACTGCTGTAACACTTCCCTTTAAACTTTTACCCTGAAAATGGCCTCCGTAAGATCCTGAACTTGTCTAAACACTAAAACTAGACACCGTTTAAACATTGTTTTTAATAACCGTGTGACGGAGCTTAAAGGGGGAGAACTGCCACCTTCGGGCATGTCATCCCTTTAAAATTTCAGCAGTGGCTGATTTGCCTTTGAGCCCCAGCCGGGGAAGGAGAGGCCTTATCCCTTTCCCAGGGCACCAGTTTCTGCACGGCAATCGCATTCCCTGCACTGCTATTCGCTCTAGGAGCCGGCCTTTTTTCTAGCAAGGGCTAATAGCAGCTCATTGATGGGTATGTGTGAGATTTCTGTTGAGAAGACAGCTTGGGGGAACGGGTTGAAGAAATACCCCTTCCTCGCACCACAGCCCTCCCCAGCTGCTTTTTGAGGCTCACTTTCACTTCTGGGGAGCCAGGGACGGATCTTCCACAGTTCCGGGGGCCATTTCGTAGAAAAAGAGGTGCAGGAGCTCATTAGCATAACTTATTTGCATATGCCACACCCTCTGACATTACCGGAAGTGTGTCAGAAGGCAACATCCACCACTCAGGCTCCACTGGACTGTTTTGGATTGCTAGCTATTGTGGGGGGGGGGGATGTGCAGATCTGTCCTCGCAGAGGAGGGAGAGCTTGTACCTGAATAAAACTTGGTCTTAAAGGTGCCACTGGACTGTTTTGGACCGGGGGGCGGGGAGGCTCTGCAACTTACCTGGCTGCTTCTTGCTCTGACTGAGGGCTGCTGGGAGCAGGGGGTGGGGCTTGTTGCATGTGCCCACCCCCTGGGCTCTTTACTGCCGGAGCTTCGCTCCTGTGCGCTCCTCCAGGAAAAGACCCCTGTGTAGTTCAGCCCTTAAATCAGCCATGTGGCCCTTTCCTCTGCTTAGGAAACCCTGAGAACTAGTTCTGGGAGGAGGGATCAGTGGTGTCTCTAGGCCCTCTTCCTAGACTACAATCCCCAGAATTCTTGGGTGGAAGGAAGCCTTGAC